GGCTCGCCCTAAAAGACTTGAGACCTATATCACATCTCAAGAATATATACTACAACCAACACCCAAATTACAAAAAACAACTGATTGATGATAATGGAGGTATTCAATGAGGCACTTGGTCCATCAAGAAACATAGCGTGTTGTTCATGACTAGTTGGAAGTCTAGTGGGGAGAAACTTCATCTATAGATCGTGGAGATAAAACAGTGACCAACCGTCTTATAACACTGATCGTCCCTGATAGTTTCCTGATACCCCCTGATACACTGATTGTCCCTGATAGTTGTCCGATACCCCTGATACCCCCTGATACGCCCCTGATACGACCCTGATACGCCCCTGATACGCCCCTGATACGCCCCTGATACGCCCATGTTTGGCAACCCGAGTGTCATGTCAATTAAGAATCTATTTCAATATGGATATTCTTTGGGCTGACCATGTATTTTTTTCAACTTCCATCAACCTGGATGGAGGGGGTGGTCTATTCATCAGGCGTCTAAAAAGAATCAATATGAATAACCGTTAAAGCAACAAAACAGAATCAACCCATTCAATCAAGTCGATCGACTGCGCACTCCCACCCCCCAATCACCGTTTCCCCGCTGCAGAACTGAACTCCAAGCGCGGTCAAAACTTCGCTGATGCTGTGCGATCCACAGCAGTGCACACATGTGATGGATGGGCGAGCCTCATCGCATCGCTTGAACAGCCTGCTCAAGCTGGTTCTTGACCCGGGTGAATCCCTCACTCAGCTCGTTGAGTGCACCTTCCAGGTCCTCGATCCCAGCTTTGGCTGCGAAGTGGACAATTGGTTGACCAATGCCATGGGGGACAAGTATGGCCACTCCCAAGGCTGGCCATCCAAATCCAAAGTCATGGATCGTTTGATGGGACCACATGGGCCATGATAGTCAAGGCCTTTGCCAAATCTTCACGGACTGCTTTCCGTTGACCACGCTGATCCAAGTCAGCATCACCCAACAAAGCTACATGGTCTGAGAAGGACAAGTTTTTTGGTAGCTTTTTCAATTTCACCTCACCCTTTCGCAAAGGGTATTTGTTTGGGAGGCGAGCCTTCCCCATCTAAATCCACCTGCTGTAATCTTTGAGAGCCTGAACAGCCAGCAGCACAACGCTCAAGCTTTACTGGTTGAGCTTGAAGAATGACACTGAACACTGGCGGTTCTGAAAATGAAAAGTGAAAATGCCATATTCATATGAGTCATGAGCTTTTGCACTGCCTGACTTCACTCCGACCCAGATCTATGCCCAGCTGCGTCACACATTTTCACTGCTAAAATCAGCTCAGCTCAAGTGTCTGGTGGGAAGAGCCTCACCGCTGAGGATTCACTCCTGAGGTGGTAGGATATGGACTTTTTCCGGGACTCTGCAAAACTCCCTGCAGCTGAGTGCCTGAAGCCACTGGTGGGCGAGCCTCACCATGAAACACGCAGACATCCTACTGCACAGGCGCAGAAGGCGAAAGAAATGGCGTGGCGTCTTCTGCTTTCTCTTCTTCTTTAGGTGACTTTGTTGGGCTCTCCGCTGCAGGCACTGGTATGTCATCGAAGTCACCCTCTGGCTTGACCTCGGCAGTGTTGTCAGCGCCCTGCTCATCTTCAGCCTCAGACGGTGGCAAAAATTAAAAGCAACCATGCTGGATGAGCCAAAGATAATTACAAGTCAACACGTTTGCTGCCATGACCAAAGTGACAAAAAATGATTGAAAATTCAAAAAGTAAATCAGCGCCAAGAAACATCAGAATCAGAATCTTCTGACGATGCGCTTGGCTCATTCTTGCAGGGAACCTTTGCCACTGGCGCCTCGCCACTGTTGGACACTGCATCTTCTCCGTCGCCAGTGTCAGCTGGCGAAGTTGGGCTCGGATCGCGCTTGCGTGGCTTTACCTTGGGCTGCAATCCAGGGGGGTGGACCTCCCTGTTCACTTGAAGCGCTCTTGCCGTTTTGGCCAGAATCAGAGCCGATCGGGCTTGCTTCCCTTTCCCGGCGTACACTTTGCAGGGGCACGCGATCCTGGTTGGATGCATGGCTTCTGCCACGGCCAACTTTGGGCATGGAATGGTGGTGTTTTCTCTTTCGGCGCCGCCGCGCCACATGTTGCTCCATGTCCGAGATAGCCTTTTTGGCCTCATCCTTGGCAGCTTCGGCCTCATCCTTGGCAGCTTCGGCCT